CATTATTACAGATCAAATATCTAAATGAAAGAATAAGAGGCTTTCTGCAGGATTGATGAAGATAAATGGAAGACTTTTGAAGACCAAGAAAATTTAAGGACAAAAAAAAAAAAAGGAACATAATACATAAATATGGTCTATAAATGTAAATTGCTAAAATGACATCAAATACGAGTTCTTGTTTAATGGATCAAAATTAAGTGAGTTTTAGGCTTGCCGCGATAGACGGTGCTGACGATGATACCGGTGTTAAGCCGCAACACCGGTTACGTCACTTGCCCACCGCGTCACCGACCCCCACCGTCGTTTAGATTTTTTATAGTAATAAAAATCATTTAGTTCAGTAAAAGAACAGACACTACAATTAAAAACTGAACGCGGCCGCTCAATGCAGCGTGCCGAACGACAGTCGCATCACAGATCAGATTTCTACGTTTCTTATTTATTTGGTTATATATTATACATGTTTACTTGATTCCAGTTTTGTACATTTAAACTATGTAAGTTATTTGATATTTTATATTAGACATAGCCTGCCCTATAGCATAGTGTATTTTTATTTGTTTTGTTAATAAAAGCTCTATGTTTTATATGTAGGCTAAAGTGAGTTTGACGTTGTATTTTGTAGTTGCATTCAAACAATTGACGCCGAACTGCCGCTAATTCAAAAGCGGTGGGAACATTTCCTCACCGTCACAACCCTAGTGAGTTTATGATTAAAACCAGAACAAATATCTGCCATTGGGCTCAGAAAAATTCACTTAATTCAAAGGGAAAAAAAATTGAATTCCCCATTGACAGATATTTGTTCTTGTTTTAAGCATAATCTTAATAATCATAATCTTTGTTCAAATTTAAAATACTTCACTTTACATTTGCATCTCCAATATAATGAATCTTGATTTAAGGATGTTTTAGATATTTGTATTAGAAAACAAAAATGTGTGCAATGCATTCAAGGTTTATGCCACAACTTTAAGACAGTCTGCTCTGATTTAAGTTACTTATGGAAACTTGTTTCTGCCACAGGATTAAAAAAAGGGTAATTGCGACTTTTTATCTCACGATTCTGACTTTTTCTGATTCTCACAGTTCTGTCTTTTTTCCACAATTGGAATATATATATAAACTTAGAATTTCGAGTTAAGAATAACTTGCAAATCCGAGGTCAGAATTCAAAAGAAAAAAAAAAGAACTCACAATTTAGAATTTTTATCTCAGAATTGAGTTTATATTTTGTATTTATACTCATACAGAGAAAAGCTGCCAGGTCTTAAAACTAAGAATTAATGCAAAACATGTCTCTGATGTTTAAGTAGTAGTTTACCTAATGTGTAATTTTGTCATTATTTACTCACTGTCACATAGTCCCCAAAAAATGTATTCTGTTATTTTTTCTGTTGAACACAAAAGGAAAAAGGAAAAAAAAACAAAACAACATTCCAGCATTCCAACATTCCATTCCACATATGGAATGTGTAGTAACACTTTTACTTTTTGGTAAGCTGTTCCTTTAAAACTAATGACAACTGGCACAAAATTGTTGTGTCGTTCCTTTAAAGCACTGAATTGTGGGTATATGAGAAAGAAGATGGGAAATACCGTTTCCCAGAGAATGTCCCCAGGGAAAACGCTAGCTCGAAATTGGTAGCAGAAAAGAGAAAATGGCCCTTTGAAAGGAAAATTCATCACTGAGATTTGATATTGATCGTCATCACGCTTGTCTGAAGGGGGCTTGAGAAAATATCCATCATCGCAATGAACGTAAAACATCTGGCCTCATGCAACTAAGAAGCTGAAGTGCGCATGAGCCCGCATTTGACTTCATGATAAGCTGAAGAGCAGTTCACCTGAAAAGCATCAGTCATCATTTCTAGAAATATGCAGTATTTGGGAAGCTTTTTTGTCAGCAACTTCTAAAATAAATAGAGATTAATTAACGCCCAATAAAGGAGGGCAGTTGACGCTCTTCAGCTCTCAGTTCTCCATCACCTCTCTTTTGTGATGCTCATTCACTTTGATTCTGTCATTAAAAATGTGCACCAGATGTCTGCGGATGACCCACGCTGCAGCGAGTCCCAGAGGACGTCTGTTTCCTCCTTTAGAAAGCGCTGCTCTTTCAGCACAGCTTCAGAGAGAGGTGATGGGAAATGTAGCTCATAATCGTAAATTACTGACAATCAGATCAACCTGCTGAGCTGGATCCTTGGAACTATTTTCAGCAAAGTAAACATGATGAATAGCCATTGACTGTTAGATGCAAACCCTGTGGCGCATCTGAGGGCATTTCACATGGTATGATAATGATTGCCATATTCATATACCTAGGTATGCACATGCTATTGCAACCCATTCAAAAGTTTGGGGTCGGTAAGATTTTTTAAATGATTTTGAAAGAAGTCTCTTATGCTCATTAAGGCTGCATTTATTTGAGTAAAGAAGAAAAAAAAACAGTAAAAACAAGAATATATTGTGAAATATTATTAAAATTCAAAATAGCTGTTTTCTATTTGAATATATTTTTTTCTATATATTCCTGTGATCATTACTCCAGTCTTCAGTGTCACATGATCCTTCAGAAATCATTCTAATATGCTGATTTGCTGCTCAAGAAACATTTCTGATTATTATCAAAGTTGTGCTGCTTCATATTTTTGTGAAAACCTTTTTTTCTATAGAATATTATATAGGATAAATATAAAGTTATAAAAAACAGCATTTATTTGAAAAATATTTTTGTACATTATAAATGTAAATATCACTTTTGATCAATATAATGCATCCTTATTGTATTTTGCACATAAACTGAAGCCTATTTTAGGACTTTTTTTTGCATTGAGACATTGTTTTCTTAAAGTTACTTAATTACAGTAATGAGAATCTAATGAGAATCACCACTGAGAATAACGAGAAGCACAAAGAAAATACAAAAGGCAAACATTTAGATTCATTACTGTAATGAGAATTTGGGTGGAAAAACTACTTAATTGACATGAAAATAATGAAAACCAGCATCAATTTCTTTATGCAGAATAAACTATTATTTTTCTCATTTTATTTTAGGGGTGAAATTTATGGAAGCTTACTTCTGCAACAGAGTATATTTAAATATTTACATATAATTTGCAATTTGCAATTGCAATTTAACAATTGTGACTTTATCTCACAATTCATACTTTTTTCTCAGAATTCAGATTTTATATCTTGCAATTTTGAATCTTTTTTTCACAATTCTGAACTTACATCTCACAATTCTGACTTTTTCATCAGAATTCCCAGGTTTAAATCTCGCAATTTAGATTTTTTTTTTATTCTCAGAACTAGGTAAATACTAGAAAAGAATGTCCAAAGAAAAAAGACTGTTAATCAAGATACATATCACTCACACCTAATTCTTCTTCCACACTGAGCCCCTGTACTTAGAAAGCTCTGTTTGCAGTGAATGACTGTGCTTCAATTCTGCTGGAGTTCCTGAGTCAGACTGGGTTAAGTGCAGTGCACACATTCATGTGTGTGTGTGTAATGTATTCTGCTGGTGGTTCTGGGCGGGGGACCGGCAGCAGCAGATGGTTCTTATTTGTCCTGTTTGTGTCAGACATGAAGGGAGCTGTGGGAGAGAGTATCAGGGAAACTCCACTCTTGTGGAGGCCAAAACTGGGGATATTTATATAGGGTATATTTACCATCCCCCTTTAAATAGCCAAACAATAGGAGCCGGTGGCATGCAGAGAACTGAAGGAGCCGCTAGAGGCGCACTGACGAGGATAGCTTACTAATACAGCTGCATGACATAGCTTACAAAGAATATATTTCAATATTGTAATAAGTAAACACTACTAACAAAAGATTTCCATTTAAAAAAAATGCTGTTTTTTAAATTTCTATTCATCAAAGAATCCTGAAAAATGTATCAAGGTTTCCATAAAAATATGAAACAGCACAACTGTTTTCAACATTGATAATAATCCGAAATGTTTCCTGAGCAGCAAATCAACATATTAGAATGATTTCTGAAAAATCATGTGACACTGAAGACTGGAGTAATGATGCTGAAATTCAGCTTTGATCACAGAAATAAATTACATTTAAAAAAAATATTCACATAGAAACCAATTATTTTAAATTGTAATAATATTTCACAATATTACTGTTTTTAATGTATTTTTATCAAACATGTAAAGCCTTGGGCAGCATAAGACACTTCTTTTAAAAATAAACAGGAGTGTTTCTGACTGTTTTTCACTACATTTATTTATTTTTATTCTTATCCACCAATATAATACCTAATAATCTAGTTATCTATCCATCCATCCATCTTTTTTACACACATTTTAAAGCAAGTAAAATGCCATGCAGAGGCAATGTTAAATTAATTGTTAAATCAGAAGGATTTTGAATAAATTAGTTTAAATCTAAAAGAACAGATTTGTTGAATCAGACTTCTGAACAATCTCAGTTAGGAGGTTTAAATCAAAGCCACTATATACTGAATATGCATTATTGTATGGTGCTAGCAATGTCAAGGTCATGGGTTCAATTCCCAGGGAATGCATGAACTGATAAGGTAAACCATGAATGGAAAAGTTGCTTTGGATAAAAGCATCTCCCAATTTCTAAATGTACATGTAAATGCATACATTTAATATAAATTAATCATTGTGAAATTCACAATATCAGTACTTTCATACAGTCAATAAAATCAAATATATTGTAAATATTTAATGCATCACTCAGCCCTATTTCCCAGTCCACGAATCGCTCAGACGTACTGCACTGTTACTGGAAAGATGCATATCAGTGTCCTTCAAATTGAATAACCGAACTGTAATTTTATTTACCTTTAATGTCTTTCTAGCGTCCTCGATACTGAAGCGGGAGAAGCGGATGAGGACGAGGAGGGTGCACTTTGAGAAGGTGACCGTGTATTACTTCAGCCGGAGGCAGGGATTCACCAGCGTGCCCAGTCAGGGTGGCAGTACGCTGGGCATGTCCAGCAGACACAGCTGCGTGCGGCAGTATACACTGGGAGAGTTCGCCATGGAGCAGGAGAGAATCCACAGAGACATGCTCCGAGATCACCTGAAAGAGGAGAAACTCAACTCTATTCGGCTGCGGGTAAGCAAACGATTCTTTTGTTACGCATATATTGCTGTGCAAATGTCTTTAATATTTCACCTTTCGTATCGTCCTCAGTTGACAAAGAACGGCTCGGTGGAGTCCGAGGAGGCCAATGCTCTCACGCTGGACGACATCTCTGATGATGACCTGGATATTGATAACACAGAGGTGGATGAATACTTTTTCCTTCAGCCATTGACCACTAAGAAGCGGCGCGCTCTGCTGCGCTCATCCGGCGTCAAGAAGCTCGATGTGGAGGAGAAACATGAGCTACGGGCCATCAGGGTGTCCAGGGAAGACTGTGGCTGCGACTGCAGACTCTTCTGTGACCCGGAGACCTGCACATGCAGCCTCGCTGGCATCAAGTGTCAGGTATGATCAGCAAACACGCACATTACACACAAAACATGGTATCATTGCAGAGGAATTCTAGTGTGAGTTAATTATTTATATAATTCATAATTTAATAAATAAATATTCAGGCTGGTCTCACAAAAAGATACCTGGGTCACTTTTCACCTTAAAAAAGCAATAATGATGATAAATTTAATAAGTGTGTATTACTTTTAGGTAATAGCATGCTAAAATTATTTATATCACCATTAAAATAATGCACTTTGTCATTTACATTTTTATTATGTAAATATTTTTATATTTACTATTAATGTTCATTTTTTTGTTGTATTATGCCATTATTTAGCTCCCAAATTTTTATTACCGTACCAACATTTTACTTTAGATAATTTTTACAGTTGTCAGTGATGATTCTAATTCTAAAATAATAATGTATTTTTTACAGTCTTTGTAAAATATTTAGACATCGTGGTCATATTTGTTGTACTGTATTTAATTCATACTGTTTAAAAAAATATTTTAAATGTAAATATTCTATATTATATTATTTTTATATTAGCAATTATTTAAAATTTTTTTACTTTTAAAATGGTATACATTATTATTATTATTTTTTTTAATCCATGAGTTTATTTGTATTTATATTATATAACTTAGGAAAATAAATAAATAATTATCACATGACACTTATGTGTTAAAATGTGCTTAATTGTCATGAATATAATGCAAAACAATTTTAATGGTCATAAAAATAGTCTTTATTGAGCAATTTTTATTATTTTGAGGTGAACTATGAGCCCAACATGTTTGTGACACGTTGTATAAGACTCACCCAGTTTAGAACCACATCAGGAGCTGATTTGCATTCCTCAAGAGAGCCCTCCTTCGCCATACTGTAGTAAAACAAACCCTGTCAAGGAAATTTAACATGGCAGACTAACAAGCATAAATGATTAAGATGTCCAGCGATAAAGTTTAATGGAGGTATGCCCTGATAGAACCGATTAGATCTGACTGATACAGCTGGTTAAATTTTACCCAGTGCATCAGGCCTTCAGAAGAGCGAGGAGCTTTATTTAGACCATTCCTGCTGTGTGTAATTCAAACCATCCAAAACTGGCCGGTGCTCAAGTGTTATTGGATGTCCACAGGTGGACCGTATGTCGTTCCCGTGCGGCTGCACAAAAGAGGGCTGCAGCAACGCGGCCGGCAGGATCGAGTTTAACCCCATCCGAGTTCGGACTCACTTCCTGCACACCATCATGAAGCTGGAACTCGAGAAGAGCCGCGAGCAGCAGCAGAATTCCGGCGTCGTCGCGCCGACCGGCAACGGTTTCCACGGCGACCCGAACGGTCACTGTAGCCCGCTGGCGACAGGTCAGCATGCGCTGGAATACGCGATCCCGGATACAGTCCCGCAGACCACCATCATGCACCTGCAGGCCGGCGACGACATGGACGACACCTTGGAGGAGGAGGAGGAGGAGGAAGAAGATGACGAGGATGAGGAAGATGAGGAAGAGGATGAAGATGATGAAGAAGATGAGAACGATGAGGACGAGGATGAGAGCAGCAGTCTGTGCAGTCTATCCGATTCCAGCACGCAGAGTTTAGCGAACAGCGACTCTGAGGAGGAAGACGACAATGAGGATGAAGACAAGACGAAGGAGTTTGACACAGGATTGGCCAATAGCGAAGTGGCTCCACCCCCTTCCGTGATGTGTTACTCTGAGAATACGGTCGCGTCCGACAACCAAACTAATGGCAACTCATACTTCATCAACTCCACTGCGGAGTACTACCAAATGGAAAACGCTACTCCGCCCACACTTTTAGCCTCCGCCAACCAATCTAGTGAGCCCGTAGGGGACATGGCATCTTATCAAGACAAGGTTAATGACTCCAGTAGGGTCATGTCTCAGGGTCCTTACAATGTGACCGCTGACCAATACACGGACTACTCCCAGCAGCCCGAGCAGCCATATGCCAATCACCACTTGGCCGTGATTGGCTGTTGCGCCTCAGAGCCGGATAAAAGCATCCAATCCAAAGGGACCTTCCTCAGCCAATCAGGAGAGCTGAGCCAGATGGAATTCCAAAACTATCTGAACAACAATACACAGGATACGAGTTACAACGCCAACGGGAGCTGTTTCGTAGCTGAACAGCCAAAGGAGATGTCTCACAATCTGCCCGAAGTTTCGCTAGCGGACAACACGAAAGGACCTACTTTACTGGACGCTTTCACTGAGCCCACTCCGGTTTAGATTCAGAGAGCGGAGCGAGAGTATAAAAGCAGCTTTCGATTCTGCACATGAACGTTTCGTTTTCCTGTTTAACGTTTGGCGGATCCAAAAATATGTATTTTTACTGAACTTTGCAAAGAACAAAAACGATTTAAACCGCAAAATCAGAGCGTATAAGCTTTAGGTTGGAAACACTCTACGCAAGTACGTTAACGCAAACGCTTCTAGCTACGCAAGCTTGATTTCAATAATGAAATGGGTCTTATTCACTAATAATTGCGTGGAATATTTTGCATTTGTACATACAGGAGAACTGCCTATGTGCATTCTCAACCTCAACTGAATTTAGTAATTTGCATAAAACACGCCTAAGCCATCTCCATATAAGGGTATTTTTCCACAACCTTTTTTTTTCAACATTCTTTTATTGCTTTCAGCCAGGGTCATCTGTAACGGGGAGAAAGGTGGTGACAATCCATCTTAACATGATTATAAAATGATTAATTTCATCTTAACATGATTATAATGCCACCAGTATTTGTTTTTTTCATACATGTGGTTTCAGTTGCTCCAATTTTTTCCCGTAAATTTACATTAAATTTTAGTATGAAAGTTCTTGATTTGTTCATGAAACATTCGTACACAGATTTCAAGCACAAATTCATGCATACAAGTGCTTAGTGATAAATGAGAACCATTGTTTTTAAATCAACAGACATTAGTAGGTATTATAGCACCCCCTTGAGGTTTATTACCACTAGAGCAAGAACTTAAAGGCACAGTCCACCTAAAAATGAAGCACTGTCATGATTACTCACCCTTATGTCATTCCAAACCTGTTTTGGACCGCAAAAGAAGATATTTTAAAAAATTAAAAATGTGTTTTTTTGTCCATAAAATTAAGGTAAATTATGAAGGTAGAATGACGTCAAAAAGATTTGCATACGCAGGGTAAGAGTTGTGGAAGTGTACATAAGACTGTAAGCGTAAATTAAATTTGCATGCGCAAGAGAAGCTTTGTAAAGGTGTAAATCGTGTTTCAAGCGCAAGAAAAAATTATTTGCAGCATTTTACTGTTATTCGTAAGTGTAATTCATGTATTGTGAAACTGCAGCTTCATGCTAACGCAAAATAAATATGATCTGCATGCTTCTGACTTCCATTTTTCCGCGCTTACACTTTTGGCACGTTTTTTTCGCCAAAAGACGGTCAAAAGCACTGCAAGCCTGTGAACAGTGATTTGCAAGCGAAAACAACAGTTTAAAGAACTGCAAAACGGATTGACTGCATAAAACCAATCTGTATATGTAAAAAAACTAACTGTTGCAAATGTCTAAATGACTTGTTGTGCATGTGGGGCAAAAAGTTCCCGAAATAAACCGATCTGCGTATGCAAATCTTTTTGACGTCATTCTACCTTCATAGTAAATGGGGTCCAATATTGCTTGGAGTCCAACGTTGTTCACACTAACTTCTTGTATGTTCTGCAGAAGAGAGAAAGTTTGGAAAGACACGAGGGTGAAAAAAAGACAGAATTGTAATTTTTGGGTGAACTTTAGGTCCACGCTTGCAAAACGTTGGCCAAGCGTTTACGTACTGGCATAAAGTATATTCCTGGCCTTAGGCTCGTGCAATGTTTCTTGTAATTTCAAAAGTTCTAGTTTTGAGCAGAGATGTGGACAGAACTTTTCTATGTATCTGTGTCAGTGGTGCAAAAAAAGAAAATAGAAAAAAAGATTGTTGCTGTTAGTGTTCTGAAGTAAGTCTATATCTAAATGTTTGATAAAAGCATGTTTTTGTTTTAGCTTTCATCGCTGGTTTATGGTTTTGTAAGAGTTCGATGTACTGTAAAAGAGAAAATAATACTGTTGCGTTTTCGTACACATACTTCATGCTTTAAAGAGTTGGTGAAAGCATGAAAACGGCTCTTAAAATGTGTGCTGTTCATTTGCCTTTGCTTACAAAACCAAAACCATGACATTTAAGTTGTGAACACGATACATTTCCTCAACATAATTGCACTTTTCCATTGGCTGATTTTATAAAGAACCGCAACCAATTGTTACCTGAGCACTAAAGGGGGCGGGGCTATCTGGTACCGTGCCATGACTATGGCTGTGTTTGGAATGGAATACTTGCCGACTACTTACTGCGTAGTATATGATCTGTATAATTATGGAAGCTTGTTTCCACCACAGGATAAAAAAAAATGTAATTGCATTTTTTATCTCAAATTTTTTTTTGCTTATAATTCTGAAGTTATCTCACAATGATGACTTTTTTTTCTCAGAACTGCAAGATATATATGTCAGCGCTGTTAGCCTTGTGGGCAGTGCGTCGGCTCGAGGACCTTTCCCGATCACACCCCCCTCCCTCTCCCAATATGCTTCCTGTAAACTCTAAACTATCCTATCACAATAAAAGAAAAAAATGCCAAAAATAAATATAAAAAAAAGAGATATAAACTTAGAATTCTGACTGAATTCACAATTCCGAGTTTACATCTTGCAGTTGTTTTTAGTTTCCGCCACAAAATAAAAAAGTGAATTGTGGCTTTTATATTCAATTCTGACTTTTCTCGCAATTGGGAGTTTATATCTCACAATTCTAAGTTGACATCTTGCAATTCTGAGTTTATATCTTGCAATTTTTTTCATTTTTCTCAGAATTCTGAGACAAAAAAGTCTGAATTGTAAGATATAAAGTGATAGTTACCTTATATTTTTTCATCTCGTGGCAGAAACAAGCTTTCACTAGCAACTATTTTAAAATAATAATGAAAAAGTTAGTTTACCTATTTTCATATAAAAAGTCATATGAAACATTTGAGATTAAATAATGTCTAGGAAAAAAAAATCAAGAAAAACAAAATTGTCCCTCATGTTACTTTTGTGAAGTGCACCACATTTTTGGATACAGTATGGTGTGCAGTACATACTGTGTATATATAGTGGTATGTTAGCACGCTATTCCGAACACAGCCCTAAATGAAGTTTTAATAACATATCTCCAAGTTTTTAGTGGAGACATGAAGGATGATTTTTCCATGACACTAACAAAAAAATATATATCATATCTATCTGCATTTGTTTAAAATGGCAGATAGTAGACAGAAGGTAGTTAGATAACAGATTTAACCTTTTAAACCAGATTACCATAATGAAAATGATCAGACTCTTTGTCTTATGAAACTCTGAGATACTAAAGTCTTAAAATATCTTTGGGATTATACAGGGATTTCTGATGAAATGCACTTTGAAATGCATCAAGTTACTGCGAACGAAGCATTCCGTTTCTGTCAGGCGAAGATGATTTTTAAAAGTGTTTAAATTACAAAGTCTAGAATACAAATGAGCTCATATTAGGTTTGTACAAGGTAATACTTTACATTTATTGCATAACTGAAAGCATTGAATGGATGGAGGCCAGGAAGGTGATTTTTCTCAATTTATAGTGATAAATATTTTATGGCATGATGTGAAAATATTCTCTCAATAGCTTAAGATTTTGAGAGGAAAAAAGAGAATAATTCTTGTCATCGTTATTTAATTTAAAAATCAGCTTTGACTGAATAAATAATTCTGAAGAGTAATTTGTTAAGTGCAATAGTTTACAGTGTGATAATGCCACACATGAAAGCTAATGTTCATTGAAAGGAGTGAATTTATTTCACATCAGATTTTCTCCCGTGTTAAAGGGAAAGTTCACTCAAAAATAAATATTCTGTCATTATGTACTCACCCTCATCCAGGTCATTCCCAACTCGAATGCTGTTATTTTGTCTCCTAAAAAAAAGAGAAAAATCTTCATGCTATGACATGAGGGTGTTTAAATAATCACAGAATAATCATTTTTGTGTGAAATATTACCTTAAAGCACTGACGAGTTGAGATGAAGCTGTTTTTAACGCACAAACCTTATGATGCATCTGTCAGTTTGTTTATCCGCTTGATGAAAGAGAGTCATTGTCCAATGGAGAATGTCCCTCAATAAGCTCAAGACAGGACAATCAAATGCCTTTTATGTCATCAACATTGTAGCGTGACCTCACCCCGTGGGGCGGTAACGAAATAACCAGATCCTTAAAGGTGAAGTGTGTCATTTAAAACTTGTATCCCAGCTTACTATAAGTAAGCAACTATAAGTAGGACCTTTAACCTTACACATTAAACAACTCTTTATGCTACAAACATGAAATATACCTCAAAATGCTTTGCTTTGAGTGGTGTGCGATTACCTTTCCGTATGGAAACTCATTTTCGGCACATAATATTATCATACATTTCATAAATATGACATTTTAAATTATGACTAAAAGTTTACATTTAAAAATCATAATTGTGACAAAATCATAATTATGACATACTAAGTCATAAATATGAGATAGTCAAAATTATGACATACTCATCAATACGATACAAAAATAATCTATGAAATCTAAAATCTAAAAAAACTATGACAAAATTATAATATAGTCGTAATTGTGACTACAAGTCATAAATTGCCATAAAAAGTCATAATTTTGACTTTTTGTCACTTTCCCCTTTTGACATCATAATTGCTCACAATTTCAACTTTTTGTAATAATTATGACTTTTTATCGCCAAATTCCAACTGTTTATCTAATTTTTACTTTTTGTCAATTTTGTCTTTGGATGTCATAATTTGGATTTTTTTCATCTCATAATTCTGACTTTCATCTACTTTTTTTGTCACAATTTTGTCACAATTATGACTTTATACCTCAGAATTTTGTCACTTTTTACTTTTAAAGTCATATTTAAGACTTGTCATAACATTGAACAATTTCACAATTTTGAGCATCCACCCAAAACATCCTAAAAAAACACTCGTGGCTGCCACTGCCAGTGGTGCAGAAATGACATACTTCGCCTTTAAAAATAAAACAAATAAAGAGATTTGATGTGTTTTCAAAAAAAAGGAAAATACTGAATGTTGCGATGGTAATCTGGGCAGCAGCATTGGATCAATGGTTTACTTCAAAGCGAATGCCTTAATTTTCTAATTCATTTTTGGCATCGTTTCAGATTCTATGAAAGCAAATTCACTCTGTGTTTTTGCCTTCTATGATTTATTGTCTGGACATTGGTCCAGATTTGTCTTTACTTCACCTCTTGACTTACACACACAGTGCTGGTACAACAGACCTCAGTCTTTGATGCATTATGGGATATGAAAGACACGTATACAGATGTAATGTCATTGAAGCCTGTACTACAGCGGGACCGGATGAACTGGCAGCAGACAGGAGTCGTCATATCATGTTACCAGTTAGAATCGCAGTTCTCCTTCTGTTTTCAGTATTTCTTATGAATGATCTATTATAGTGTGTATTTATTGTGCGTTCCTTAAACGGTATGTATTGAATAAAAATTCTCTTTGTTAAAGCGCTTCTTGTTGCGTCATAAATCTCTAAATGGGAAAAGGAGTAAATGGGAAGTTCAGACAGAACAGACAGAGAGACAGACAGACACAAAGACGGACAGAGAGACAGACAGACACAAAGACGGACAGAGAGACAGACACAGAGACAGACAGAAAGACAGACACAGAGACAGATAGAGAGACAGATAGACAGACAGACACAGAGACAGATAGAGAGACAGATAGACAGACAGACACAGAGACAGATAGAGAGACAGATAGACAGACAGACACAGAGACAGATAGAGAGACAGATAGACAGACAGACACAGAGACAGATAGAGAGACAGATAGACAGACAGACACAGAGACAGATAGAGAGACAGATAGACAGACAGACACAGAGACAGATAGACAGACAGACACAGAGACAGATACAGACAGACACAGAGACAGATAGACACAGAGACAGAGAGACAGACAGACACAAAGACAGAGAGACAGACAGACACACACACACACACACACACACACACAAGGACAGACAGAGAGAGAGAGACAGATAGATGACAGACAAACAGAGAGAGAGACAGACAGATGGCAGACAGACACAAAGACAGAGAGACAAACAGACAGACACAAAGACAGAGACAGACAGACACAAAGACGGACAGAGAGACAGACACAGAGACAGATAGACAGACAGACACAGAGACAGATACAGACAGACACAGAGACAGATAGACACAGAGACAGAGAGACAGACAGACACAAAGACAGAGAGACAGACAGACACACACACACACACACACACACACACAAGGACAGACAGAGAGAGAGAGACAGATAGATGACAGACAAACAGAGAGAGAGACAGACAGAAGGCAGACAGACACAAAGACAGAGAGACAAACAGACAGACACAAAGACAGAGACAGACAGACACAAAGACGGACAGAGAGACAGACACAAAGACAGAGAGACAGACACAAAGACAGAGAGACACAGACACAAAGACAGAGAGACAGACAGACACAAAGACAGACAGACAGACAGACACACACACACACAAAGACAGAAAGAGAGAGACAGATAGATGACAGACGGATGGACGGACGGACAGACAGACAGAACCAATAAAAGCATCTAAAGCATTACATTTCTCCATCTTTAATAGGAACTCTTAGTTTCTTTTATGTAATTCCGAAACACTCTTACAAAAATGAATTCGTTCTTTGTTGTCGTTACAAAATATATTCTAAGCAAAGACAATTAATCTACATCTCTTCATGGCATTATTATGGAACGGTGGCTTATAAACCAAATTTGTGAATCTTCTGATCGATGTAAACACCTGATGTAATTTTTAAAAATAGGTTTCTGGCCTGATGTTTTGTGGTTCGTTCTGTTCTTCGTGTCAAGACTGAATGTTCTGAAGGCAGACGCTTGTATAACAGCGCCCTCTACTGCCGGTCTCTGTCATTCACTGTGTGATACTGTGCCTTCAGGCTCTAATCAAATATTCACAATGTTCAACAGCATGTCAGAATATACAAAAGTAACATCTAATAAAACACAACATATTTCAATTTGGTAAAATAAAACAAAAAATGGTTTAAATGGCTAAAAACATAAGACCATCCCACAGAAATTCCATTTAAAATATTTGACCTGTAATGAGAACTTTGTTTCACTACATTTAAAGAAAAAAGAAAAGAACAACCTCACTTTGTGAAAAGTGAATATGAAGCAAATACTTTCAGGAAGTCTTTGGTGCTGTAAAATCTGCATGTTGCGTCCTTAATCTGCAGTTCATTCAGAGAATGCGACTGATAGTCATCATCACTGTGGTTGAGCTCATCCGGTATAAAAACTAGAAAAGTCACCACGTGAGTACACACGTCCTGTAGTTTTTCAGACATAATGGAGTGAAATGGAGAGAAAGACAGAGAGAAAATAAAACTTCACATCACTGCACGTGCCTCGGCCCCTATAGCCAGGAATGTCTGTATGTGCTCCGCTTTTATATTCCAACTTCTCCAGCAGCAATATTTTCCACATACAAAAATAAATTAAAGGTCTGTGTCATACAGAAGACTCTTGTGCTTGTGTGTGTTCAGGGTCCAAAATTAACACTTGCAATGCATCAGACACAAATAACCAATTTGCTTTGGCAAGTAAATAACACATGGTTTGTCTTTGATTTTATAAAGATCTGCAATATTACTCCGTTTAACTGTGACTGTGAGACTGATCGTATGATCATTTGATCATAAATCATAAAAAGGGAGCTGCTGAAAAGGAAGGCAATCCCATTATGCACTGCAAGATGCTCTGTAAAAAAAAGTCTAAGATCCACAATCTAAGATGGTGAATGAGTTAAGATAAATGTTAATTAGAAATAAGAATGGGAATTTGATTATTCTGCTCATGTTTCCAATACTTGTAATACAAAGATGCCCCCAGTTTGGTCTGTAATCACCTTGATTTGGTCCGCCATGCTATATCAGAAGAGGATGATTTAAAAATATATAAAAACTTTTTTTGTTTGTTTTATTTTTGCATAGGAATAAAAAAAACAATATGATAAAAAAAATTGCAGCATTTCAAAGCAAATTATTTATTGTTCTTTACTTAAAAATTGAATACATTTTAATATAGTTGAATATACTGCAACATTTACTTTTGGCCCTCAGTCAAGTTAGATTTTTGGCCCTTCACATTAAAATTTTTGGCATCTTTGTTTTAATATTTTTAAGGAATTCCCAAATATGCTTATAAACCATCCAATACCAAATGAATCAGATAAAACAGTTCAAATCTAATTGAAAACACGCATTTTAAACAATACTTTTTCTGCTGGAGTATGTTAACACAAACTCTACTGAACAACCTGTACAGTGCAACAGTTGATTATGAGAGTAAATATTCCATTATATGCACTCTTAAAAATAAAGGTTCTTTATTGGCATCAATGGTTCTATGAAGAACCTTGAACATCCATGGAACCTTTCAAATGCAGAAAAGGTTATTTATAGTTGAAAAAGGTTCTTTAGACTTTTAAAATATTCTTCAGAATGGTTCTTTTAGGAACTGTTCACTGAAAGGTCCTTTTGGGAACCAAAAATTGTTCTTCTATGGCATCACTGCAAAAACACCCTTTTGGAACCTTTATTTTTAAGAGTGTACTGTAGAGATATTAATGGTTAACAATATCTTCCATGGAACCTTTCAAATGCAGAAAAGGTTATTTATAGTTGGAAAAAGGTTCTTTAGACTTTTAAAATGTTCTTCAAAATGGTTCTTTTAGGAACTGTTCACTGAAAGGTCCTTTTGGGAACCAAAAATTGTTCTTCTATGGCATCACTGCAAAAACACCCTTTTGGAACCTTTATTTTTAAGAGTGTACTGTAGAGATATTAATGGTTAACAATATCTTATGCTTTTATGCTCAAATGCTTTTGTTGAAGCAATCAGTCTGCATTATTGAAACTATTTAAATTATTTAAACTTATTTAAATAGTGAAATTCCTGGTGAAAAACTAGATTACACATGATTCTGCAGAGAAATCTCCACCAATCAGAGAACTGTGACAAGATTAAGTACACAGTCTAGAACCTTTGTCTTTTTGTCTGATTTCTAAACATTTTTTAGTACAAATCTAAGTTTGTAATGTGATTCACCTCGTAGACCGGTTCAAATCTGAAAAATGGAAAAATGTATGGGGAAAACACTTCTAGAATGAAGGATGCTGAAAAAGTGGACAGGCACTGCTGCACCCTATCAAGAGTGTTACAAATCAGTCACTTCTGAGGTTCCATGACCATCAGGATGCTCCCTAAGAAGGCAGCTTCTATGTAGGTTTTGGTACAGAGCAAATGAGTTGCACTGTTCGTCGAAATATGCTCTGTAATTAATTGTCATATACTGTAAACTACAGTTTCATGGCCAGTAAGAAATAATTTTGGCATGTAAACTTTCCTGAATTCATTGGCAGCTGTGGCAAGAAGTTAAGTTTTGGACCCTGAGAGTGTGTGTGTGTGTGTGTGTCACTGGTTCCGCCGTTCATGTGAAGACCCAGAGCTGGTACTTGTCAGCTGGATTGCAGGGCACTAGAGAGGGGTTCTCATGTCGAGCGGTCAGGCATTGTTTTGAGCCCTTGTTATAGAACAGTTGATCCTGCAAAGAGAATAAAATAACAGCAGGATCTATCAGTGCTGCAGTCCAGCAAAATCACAAAACCAAACATAAGCGGGCTTAAATTAGCATTAGACAGATGGCAAGCTCTTTTCTCTCGTTTTCTTTGTTCTTGAATATATACTTTGGTTTAGTCTGATCAGAAGTTTAGTTTTGACGTTACACAGGTGAGCTGCCTATGTAGGCTGCATTTTAAAGCATTATAGGTGTGTGCTGAGGTTTATTCCAAAAGGCCAAATTTGGCACACAATCCCAAAGTGTAATGCCATAAGATTGGTGAAAAAGAAAACATGGAAGATGGAGCAAAAGAAATGTTGATTATAAATGTACTTTGAATTAATTCAATTAACTTGGCAAATTAATTTCCATAAATTGTATTTTTATTTTTAGTTTGTAGCTGGATCTAGCTGTATTTCTAGCTCTATACACACACACACACACACACACACATATATATATATATA